CGCAAGCTCAAGCTCCAAGTGACCCGGGCCTTTGTTTGCGCCAGGACCTTTGCCCAGGGCCTGGCCGTGGCCAGAGACGTCATCGGCAAGGTGTCCCCGGTGAGTGGTGTGACTTTATTTCAGGGGGAGAGCTTATTTCATAGGATGGGCTTGTGCAAAGCGGTAAACGTATTGCCAAAGTATCTGCAGTGAGTGGCGTCCCGTTATTTGGGGGTGGTGGTGGTGGTGGTGGTGTTATTTCATAGAATGGACTCGTGTAAAATAGTAAACTTATCCCCAGAGTTTTAGATGTGAGTGGCATCCCGTTATCTTTTGCGGGGAGGGAACTTATTTCATAGACTGTGTTCGTGCAAAATGGTAAATGTATTGCCAAAGTGTCCATGGTGAGTGGCATCCTGTTACTTTTTGAGGGGCTTGTTTCACAGGATGGGTTCATGCAACATATTGAAGTCATCGCGAAAGTGTCTTCGGTGAGTGGCACGTTGTTATTTGTGGGGGGACAACAACTTATTTTATTGGATGAGCTCGTGCAACATGGCGAAGTCAAAATGTCAAAGCAAATGTCAAGCGAAAGACATGCCATTATTTATTATTGGGTTATTTGATAGCGTAGTCTTGTACTATGCATGCCCTGGGTGGGTTTGTGCAATATATGGTTATGGTGAAGTGTGAATTTTAACTTACAGTCATGTATAATTATAAGTAGGTGTTTAAAGGGGTAAGTATTTAAAATAGCATAACTGGGGGGATGGTAGCCAGCTCAGCTCACTCTGAGATGAGTTGCCATGGTAAAAGGGGAGGAGCCAACTGCCACTTGGCAAGAGCAGGCATTTTAAATAGGCAGTCTGTGGTCAGAGAACCACAGGGAAAGCTGGTTCTACTGTTTGGAGAATCAGGAAGGTTTAGGCTTTTAACCTGTGTGGTTTAGATAGGCCAAGTTGACTTATTTAGATTAGTAGTTAAGAGTTTGGGGGAGAAAGGGAAGAGAATCCCTGTAAGAATCTTTACTGTAACAGAGATAACAGGGGGAAAGAATAGGCTAGTACCTGGAGTGATCTGCTAAGGAAAGAAACACATTTTGAAGGAAATTGTCTAGTGGAAAGAACAGTCCTCTTAAGAGTTGTTTTATGAAAGGTTATAAATGTAACCACTAAAGGAATGTACCTCTAGGAGTTAAGAAACACTGAAACCATTAAGCTTCTATACTTCAATAAACTTATTACAGTTTCTCTTAAATCCAAGCCTCTGTTTCGGATACTTTCAAGTCAAGCCGTGCTACACATCAAAGGAAGATAAACAAAATATTACAGGCTAGTGGCTGTGTTATCGAATTTGTAGATTCATTACAAATTGTAAGGGACTCGTGACAAATCAGTAACGTCCCTACAACTGGTGGCATCGTTACAATGGTAAACCCGTTGCCAACGTGTCCGTGATATGTTACGTGCCATTGTGTTTTGGAAGGGACTTGTTTCATAGGGTGGGCTTGTGAAATGTGGTAGACCGATCACCAAAGTTGCATATCATTATTTTGGGGGACTTCTTTCCTAGGATGGGTTTTTACAATATGGTACACCCATCGCTAAAGTGTCCAGTGTGTTGTGTGCCATTATTTTTGGGAAGAACTAGTTTCTTAGGATAGTATTGGGCAAAATGACAATCTCATTGCCAATGTTACGTATTGTTACTTTCCCAGTCTCAGAAGAAAGTAATTGTTGGGCGAGTGGTCTTATTAACAATAGACCCTCCTCATAAATGTACAGCAATTGATTAGTAACTGTGCTGGCACGACTGTGCCAGGAGATTTGAATTTCTTTTTTTTTTTTTGCACTGTTAGTTTGCATGAATTCATTTGGGCCTTGCATTTTGCAATTGGGTAGCTTTCCCCAGGTTGCAATCATAGGGCCAACAGCCTATCAATGATCATTAGAGCCTTTAGATCTGCTCCTTTCCCTAGGTTTTGGAGGGAAAAGGGGACTTTTAATTCAGTCTCACAGTTTGGAGCCTTACAGTAGGACGTATGGCCTTTTCTGTGTCCCACCTGTAAAAAGCTTCGCTTCTTACAGCTCTGCTGGGGTTAAAGAAATAGATCTACAGCCAGCTTTTGCTGGGAAAAAGGGAAAACCTCTACAGCTCTGCTGGGGAGTAAAGTTACAGTTCCACAGCTTTGGTGGAGGAATACAGCCAGCCTTTGCTGGGCAAAAGAAATAGTTTTAGAGAAACTAAAAGGATGCCAGCTTGGCAGATCTACAGCAACCATTGCCTGGTAAGGGACCACTCGAGCTATCCATAACGCAGCTTGGAGCCGGGAGTTGGGGCCTCACGCCAACAACAAGTCCTAAGATCCCATAACATTGAGCCATCAAATTAGATATGAAGTCCCTCAAAGAGCAATTTCCCCTTTTGTTTTGGGTCAGCAGTAAGATGACTGTACAATACTAATATAATGTGCACTCAAGTTTGGCCAGGTGATTTATCCCAAAATGATGAGCATTAGTGTTGTACACCAGAGCAGGAACACCTCTGCCCTTAAACACCACACTGATTTGGTAAAATCAGCAAGCAGTTTATTGAAGAATATATGTAGGCAAAGCAATTAAATTAGCAAAAACAGTAAAGTTTCTAAAGCAATGGATAGTCCATGAGCTTCAAGGCAAAATAAGATTCATTGGAACAACAATCTATGAGACAAGGCAGCATGACAAATCCAATACACAAATCAGGACCTTGGCAAAAACTTGGTACTTGAAACTTAGAACTGGGGCAACTTACAGGGAGCGGTCAACCCCTCTGTTTAAGGAGCTCCACTGGCTGCCGTTTATTTTCCGCTCCCAATTCAAGGTGCAGGTTATAATCTATAAAGCCCTAAATGGTTTGGGACCCGCCTACTTTGGTGACCGTATTTTCCTCCATGAACCAACTCGGGCCCTCTGTTCTTCTGGGGAGGCCCTTCTTTCGCCCCTGCCAATTTCACAAGCTCACCTCGTAAGTACAAGAGAGAGAGCTTTTTCTTCTGTGGTCCCCCAACTCTGGAACTCACTACCTGGAGAAATTAGGAAAGTCCCTACCTTAGAAACCTTTAAAAAGGACCTTAAAACCTGGCTCTTCTGCTGTGCTTTTGATGAATAGGTTTACATTCTCACACTGTTGCTTAGCCTCAACGTTTTGTCATTAGAGTATATGTGTTCCCCCCTTTGTGGGAAAGCCTGATTCCACAATCCCCATTATAATGAGTCCTCCTCCGCAAATAATCTGTCTCTCTTATCTCGCCTGAGTTTTAATTAGTTTTAATCAGTCTCTCTTTTAATCATTACATGTAGCCCGCCCATTGTCATTGTGATTGTGCCTATTGTAATTTTATATTGCTATGTTTTCATATGTTTTATGTAATTATGTTGTTTGTTGTTTATTGTTTGCGTTTTCGGTTTTATTTTATTGTAATTTTCTGTTTGGGCTTGGCCTTATGTAAGCCGCTCCGAGTCCCCATTGGGGTGATGGTGGCGGGGTATAAATAAAGTTTATTATTGTATTGTCAAAGGCTTTCATCTTCAGACAGTTGCTCTGAGAAAGACTGTGAAGGGCCTCTCCCAGGAATGTGACCTTGTGAATCTTCCTGAGACAGCTCGGGCCTCTCGTCTGAGCTTAACTCAAGCCTGGCCAAACCCTCATCCCCATTGCCACCAGTCCCAGACCCACCATCAGAAACATCAGACACAACCACAGCTGAACAGGCTGACATACAACACTTAGTTTTCAACTTAGTTTTGAACAGTCCTTGTTTGCAAAATTCAACAAAAGTGTAACCCATGCAAGATAATGCGTTCGTTGCAAGAAAGCAGGGGTAAAACAATCCTTCTGCAAACAGGATAGGTAACTGAAACTTGAGTGCGTCATGGATAAACATTCAAGCTACCAAATGTCTGCCTTTCTGTATGACTTTTGCCACAAATGGTGACGTCGGGTGGCTGAATCTCTCGAACCAAGAGGAGGGTTGGAATTGTTTCTCTTTTCCCAGCCTGGGAGTGATTGAGAGCGCGTTGAGCAGGAGGGAAATCGCCCCAATCCCGGCCCTTTGAGGGCGAGGCATTTTGCGAAAGAGCCAAGGCTGTGTAATTGGACGCAACCCACCAGCTGTAAGAAGTTGCCGACCCTTTTAAAAATGGGAGATTTAAAAGCGATCGCAGGGTGGGGCAGCTTTCAAGCTTGCCTTTCAGCAGATTGAAGAATTTGGCAGCTGGAGAGGATCATGTCAGAGAAGCAGAGAAAACGCCTTGTTCTGTTACAAGGCAAGGCTTCCAAAACAAGGGGATTGAACCCCCTTTGATTGTCCTGATTGGGGTGCATCTACACTGTAGAATTAACACAGTTTGACACCACTTTTACCGTAGTGGCTCATTGGTGTAGAATCCCAGGATCTGTCATTTGAGTAAGGATCTTGTAGTCTTTGGAAGAGAAAGCAAAATACATAATAATAATAATAATAATAATAATAATAATAATAATAATAATCAACAACAACAACAACAACAACAACAATCTATATAAATAAATAAAAATGTAATGTTTGTTTGTGGGATTAACAGAACTCAAAAACCACTGGACGAATTGACACCAAATTTGGACACAAGACACCCTTGACATTTAGGATTTGTAGTTACTAGGATGTATAGTTCATCTACAATCAAAGAGCATTCCGAACCCCACCAACGATGGAATTGGGCCAAACATACCACACAGAACCCCCATGACCAACACTGTAATGTTCGTTTGTGATACCATCAAAACTCAAAAACCACTGGGGGTATTGACACCAAATTTGGACACAAGCTACCTAACAATCCAATTTATGTCCTTCACTCAAAAAATTGATTTTGTCATTTGGGAGTTGTAGTTGCTGGGATTTATAGTTCAACTACAATCAAGAGCATTCTGAACCCCACCAACGATGAAATTGAACCAAACTTGGCACACAGTTCTCCCATGACCAACAGAAAGTACTGGAAGGGTTTGGTGGGCAGTGTCCTTTGGTTTTGGAGTTGTAGTTCACCTACATCCAGAGATCACTGTGGACTCAAACAAAGATGGATCTGGACCAAACT